TATAACAAATAAAAATGTAGTATTGTTGTGGTGTTATCATTTCAATTTAAATTTATTTGATATATGTTGTTAAACAAAAATAAGAATAAGCGAAAAGGATATGTGATTTTATTTTATTTTAAAAATGTTTTAAGTTCAAACAAAACGGCGGCGATTTAAGTAAGAGAACTTAATGGAAGATTCAGCGCAAACCAATGAGAAACTTTCAGCTTTGAAATGTATCCAAATCCGTTTTTTTTTTGTTGTAATAATGTTTTTCCATTTGACATGTCACTTTCTCCTCGTTGTCTCTATTATCTCAAAAACGATAATACATGTAAAATTCGAAATAAATGTATGTAAGGTTCGGCATGCAGGACAAACAAAACTAAGCAAATAATTAACGCCACTAGTTTTAAAAAACTTTAGGATTAATTTTCAAAGTAAAAATTATATATTTATAACCACTAAATTTACACTACAAGAAAACATATTAATTTTTGACCAATTTTTTTTGTGGTCAAAACTATTTTGACCATTTTCGACCAATTTTAGACGAATATTTATCGTTATAAATTGGTCAAAAAATATGATGAAATATAAAAGTCAAAAATTGGTCGAAAAATTTCGACCAATTTTTAACGGATTCGTAAATTTGTCAAAAAATGGTCGAAAACATGTTAATTTTTTACCAATAACTTGGTCAAAATGTTTGTTGACAAAATTTCGACCAAAAAATTATGAAAATTTAAACTCGTCAAAATATGATCAAACTTTTTTTTGACTAATACAAGTGGTCAGTAGATAGTCAAAATATTCTTACCATTTATCGACTAAAACAAAATTTGGTCGAAACTTTGTGAGTAATTTTTGACGAATAAATACTTGACAGAAATTGGTCACAACATTATCGACCAAATATTGAGGAGAACACTTCTATTTATTTGTCCCACATCGCCAATATGGGAGAGATGAAACTTTGACTTTCTCTATAAAATAACACTTACTCCATTGTAAAAACCGTAAATGGGTTTCATGGCCCAAATAGTTAAATTTTGAAATATTTTAATCACTGATTGAGTGAATATTTTGAAATTATTATAAATCAAAT